ACCATTTTTTATTGCCTGTCTCGGGCGCGCGTTCTCCAACACCTTGATAAGTTCGTGGCTTATCGTTGCCCCTGAGTATCAGCTTTGGTTGGGGGTTGGGATTGTAGGCCTGTTTGGGCTTTTCTTCATACTGTATTGGCTACTTTCCTTTGTCTACGTTGTAAATCACCTGCCTTTCTCTATCATCTCTAGAGAAGAACGTAGAGTCAGCCTCACTACTAAAATTAAATTTGGGGCCATTTAAACTCCAATAAAAGTAAACTTATAGTCAATTGAATGTCTCGACAAGACGAACTCAATGACACCAAAATCGATTCGATCCGAGCCCAAATTGGCTCAAATCAAGGGGGCTTAAAGTATATTTGAAAGCTTCAGAGCATTCATTGGATGACTAAATGATCTTCAAATTAGACATGCTTATAGTCGAATCGAGCAGCTCAAAGAGACAAATCCAACAAGCCAAAGATTACTCAATTCTGACATCATCAAGACATTTAAATGCTTTATAAATACTCTATGATCAAGGAAAGCAATATAGACCGTATGATGGAGCACTCCGAATTTAATATAGATCTTCTCCATATTTATGGAGCTTGCCACTCCCAAAAACTTCTAAATAGTCCATCATTCTTCACATGAGAGGAGGCAAGAGAAAGATAGCTATAGAGAGAGTTATCTTGCATTTTTTATCCATCGCCGCCGACGAGTACTACTAGCTATCGTCTCCGACAATCATCATCGTCATCAACAACCAGTATAAAAAATCACTATCATCTCCAAAATACTAACAATATTTGACCATGGTGTTGGGTATATTTTTTTGCCAATGGACATCTATTTCTATAATCTCAATTGGAAAAATTAAGCCCTATTATTGGGTATAGATTGTTCCTCTGTAGACATTTGATCTTTGTACTTTCCCTCTTCTTCAATAGTGTAGAAAGAATGATATTTGTATCACTTGATACATAGTGGATTTTATAACTGGGTCAGACCTCATGATTTTTCCCTTTTCGAGTTTTCCACGTAAAAGATTATTTGGTTATACTACTTTCATTTGTATGTGTTGAACCTTTGTACACTGCTAAGACATAAAACACACACTCAACCTACTCAAACTTTCTACCATACAAGAGTTTGGCTTCGTTGGAAACATTTCCAACATACTTCTTCAATGACTAACAATCAATCCCTTAATCAAGAACAACAAAATGTGAGTGATCAAATTCCCCTAGGCCTCACTTTAGAGGACCATATGTGTAGGATGAAGAAACTTCAAGATCAAATTCTTAAGTTATTCGAGGAGGTTAGACAACAAAGGGAAACCTCACAGTAACAGTAAACAAATATTATTATATCTCCTCTCAATCATCAGTCGTTGTTACATCATTATTTTATGGAAAACGGATTCAGGATAAGGGGCAACTTTAGCTACAATCTCAAAGAGATACTTATGTTTAAATCTCAAATATTGGTTATGGTTGAACAACTCACTCTAATATGTTATGCTTCTATAACAATCGTTTTGATAACCACCATTCATAAAGCTTACAACAAATACAAGAATTGTTCATGTGAAACTCAAATTTATACAATTTCAAGATGGACTTCTACTATTTGTGCAATGTCTTAGTCTCAACCTCGAAAAGGTAGTAACAGTATATAAATAGATCAAATTACACCTTTGATTTGGGATACACATGGCATTCACGCCTCCCAATCAAAGTATAATCGATCCCAGGGGGTTCGATTCGACCTCTTCCATACAGGTTAATGCCATTGAGTAACACTCTGATAAATAACCTCGGATAGTTCAAACACTCTTGGTAGATTTTTTTCAATATCTTCCACATAGGTTAACGTCATTAAGCAATGCTGTGATAAACAATCTCAGATATGCCAACATCCTTAGTTGAGTTCTTCTGACCTCTTCCACACAAATTAACATTATCAAGCAAAGCTTTGACAAACGACCTCATATAGGTCCAATATTTTAGGTTGATTCCTTTTGATCTGTTTTATATGAGTTAATGCAATCAAGCAACACTCTGAAGAATAATCCCATCAAGGCATGTCCATGAGATAGCCACTATGAGAAGCTAGTAGTGGACAATTTCCACACTCGAAAGATTCCAAAAGGGAGTGGTAGACAAGGTCTCCACCCATAACCCCAGGAAGGCATGCCCATGAGGTAGCCTCAAAGGAAAGTTAATAGTGTATCACCATAAAGACTCCATGAGAGCAAGTGGTTGACAGGATCTCCACTTATTCAAAAACCTCAAAAGGTAAAAGCATCAGAAGGTTTAGAATGATTCAAAATCTTTTAAAGACACGCGTTCATAAAACTATAAAAGATAAAAGCCTTAAAAGATAGATGTACAACTAAAACATTAAAATGATAAAAGCCTTAAAAGGTACATGTACACAAAATCTTAAAAAACTAACATCCTCAAAAGATTCAGGATTATCCAAAGCCTTTAAAGGCAAGTGCCTAAGAAGAACTAGGTGTACGTAAAATCTCACAAAGGAAAAGTCTCAATAGATATATGTACATATAAAACCTCGGAAGGCATAAGCCTTATAAGGTATAGGATTAATCAAAAATCTCAAAAGGCTAAAGATCTTAGAAGATATACACTTTTTTGATTCATCAAAAATCTTAGAAGGTAAAATCCTTGGAAGGTTCAGGATTACTCGATGATCACTTCCATACAAGTAAACAACATCGAGTAATACTCTAACAATCAACCTCGGATAGTTCAAACATCCTTGATAGATTTATTTTGATCTCTTCATACAGGTTAATGTTATCAAGTAATCCTTTGACAAATAATCTCAGATAGGTCAACATCCTTGGTGGATTTCTTTTGATATTTTTCACATAAGTTAACTTCATCAACCAATGCTATGAAAAATAACCACGGATATGTCAATCATTCCTGGTGGATTCATATCAACCTTTTTTATACGAGTTAAAATAATCAAGCAACCTTTAAAGAACAACCACAGGAAGGCATGCCTATGAGGTAGTCTCAAAGGGAAACTAGTAGTGGACAAGATCTCTACTAGAAAGACCACATGAGAGAAAGTGGTAGGCAAGAACTCCACCAATAATCCCAGGAATACATGTCCATGAGGTTGCCTCGATTGAAAGTTAGTAAAGAAAAAGGTCCCCACTAGAAAGACTCCATAAGAATTAGTGGTTGACAAAATCTCTACTTATTCAAAAATCTTAGAAGATAAAAGCCTCAGAACGTTTAGGATTATTCAATAACTTATAAAGGCAAAGGCCTCAGAAGGAATAAGTGTACATAAGATCATAGAAGGCAAAAACCTTGAAAGGTAGATGTACACCTAAAATCTTAAAAGGCTAAAAGCTACAAAAGGTAGCAAGTACCAACTATTTAAAATAGTGGAATGTCTTTAATGTAAGAAGAAGAAAAGAGGGAAAGTGCAAAATCTTTTAAACAAAGAAGGGCATTGGAGATTAATAGGTTATATCGCCTATTCAAAATAGTGGAATGCTTTTAATATAAGAAGAAATGAAGATGAGAAAGAGAATAAGAGCAATAGAAGATTGGAGAGAAGAAGTGATGCAAGTTCCTCTCCCCATGAAGGGGTATTTATACTTGAAGGAGGAACTGGGTTTCACAACTTTAAATGAGAGTGTTATGAGGTATAAGGAAAAAAGTTATGTAACTTTATACAAGAGAGTTACATGAGTTAATGGAGAGAAGTTACATGGAATTAAATAAAAATAAATAAAAAGAACTATCGTATTCTTGAAAAAATATCTTTAATAAAAAAAAAGAGAGAAGTTCAAAAAAATGGAAGGGGAGGTGCCAAACGGTGCACATTTTACACGCTAAAGCATACGGGAGATTAGATTTCCAATGTTAATGCTGGCGGCAAGTGTCCTGCATACTGATGGGACCAACGGACCCAAAGCGGTTTGGGCCCAATTTTAGGTCCGAACGGGCCTATTCTAATATTTTTTAACCCCCACAAATATTTTTTGATATTCTGAACTAAATTTTAATATTTTCGGAGCCCAACAAAATCTCTACAATTCATTTTAAATAATTTAAATATTTTGAAGCAAAATAATTCAACATTTTTAATCCGATCGACGCATCAACTTTATGAAAAACTTAAATTATAGTTAAAGATGTTTTACTTATTTCACAGCCCCGATGGTAGGTCCACATTGATGAACAGAGAGTAGCCGTGCCTTATAATTATCCAAAGGACATGGCTTTACATCGCAACATTTTGGAATGATCATGCATATATGTTCAAACTCCACGATCTTTGACATCTAAAAATAGGGGTGCAGAATACTAACAAGTTTTGAGACTGCTATTGGATACATTTGTTTGCCTGTGAACATCTATTTCTATAATCCCTATTGAAAAATTAAGCCCTGTAGTTGGGTATAAACTGTTCCTCTATGGATGTTTAATATTTGTACTCTCCATCTTCTTCAACTATGAAGAAAGAAAAATCTTTGTATCACTTGCTATATAGTGGATTTTACAACGAGGCCAGTCCCTGTAATTTTTTCTCTTTCTGGATTTTCTATGTAAAAAATTCTCTAATCCTACTACTTACATTTTTACGTGCTGAATTTTTATACTCTGCTAAAGCGTAAAATACAAACTCAACCAACTTAAATTTTCTAGCATACAACAATAATATTGATTTAATGTTCCAAAATTCATTAAATATTCCATAATATGAAATTTCAACTTATGATATTAAGCATAATAATTATAGCCCATTCATTTTAATCTTTTAACTGCTCCACAATCTTAATTTTACTAAGAAAACTACATATTAAACATGATTTCTGAAACCATTTTCATACTTTCTAACAACGAAATGCCGTTTGAAACTTGTGAAAAAAACAACTAAAACAAATCATCAAAATCATCGAAATAATCAAAACTGCCAAAATCAAAACTTGAAATTGGTTTAAAGTTTATGTGATAGTTTATTACCTTGTTGATGGAAGAGGCACAAAATCCACAAGAAGGAGATGAAGCTTTCAAACACTTCATGCAATCCCAACTAGTTGAAACAGACTGAAAAGCTGGGCAGGTAGAATTAGCAAAATGGCTTGATTCCACCTTACTAATAATTGGTGAATGGGTGGATGTCTGATGAAAAACTGCTGAAAGAACACCAAGTGAAAGAATAACTCCACACAAACTGAATATTAGTAGTTTCTTCCTTCCTGTTCTGTCTATGAAATAGATACTAACAATGGATCCCAAAGCATTTAAACCAGATGTTATAAGTGAGAGTGCAAGTGCTACTCGATTTGAAGCGAATCCAGCCAACTGAACTATTGTAGGACTGTAATACATAACTGTGTTTATTCCCACAAACTGTTGGAATATCTGAAGCCCCACGCCAGCAATAAGTCCTCTTCTTACTGTCTTTGTTTTGATGAGTTTTAGGAGGTTGATCTTCTCTGATGTCCCTTCTTCCCTGACCTCGGCTTCAACTGACTCTTTCAGTTCTTGAATTTCATTTCCTACTTCATTGGATGGGTAAATTTTATGAAGAATGGCTATGGCTTCCTCTTCCTTTCCCTGTCATAAAAAATTTTTATAAGTAGGGATGTTAAAAAAGTTCATTGTCATGCTCAATTGTGTTCAGCTTGATAATTAGCTCAAATTTGATTAATTTGGTTTACATTTAATGAACCAAACACAAACAAGGTCCTCAGGTTCAAATCGATAATAGTTATATATATATATATATATGTGTGTGTGTGTGTGTGTGTGTCCATGCATAATTTTATATATTTTAGTGCATATACACATATAAATTGTATATATTCATGTTCATTTTTTATATTTTCCTAGATGTATGTACATATAAGTGGTGCCATGAATTTGCTATAATTTATAATTTGTTTTTATTTTTTATTTTTTTTTTGCTAAAATTTATAAATAATTTTTAAGTAAACTTTATACTCATGAGCAGTTCATGTTTGGCTCGATAAGTTAAGGAGCGAAACACAAATAAAATTTTTTTGGCTTGTTTGTTTAAAGAGTCAAGCCAAAAAAACTTGAGCTCAATCAAGCTCATATCAATTATACCCTTATTTATAAGCTACTCAAATGAGCCAATAGAAAATGCATTTCAAGTTTTTTATAAAATTGTTGTAATCTTTCTAAAACATAATAACCTTTCTATAAAGCCAACGAGGTGACTCAGGTAGATATGCCATCAAAATGAATTGCAGCAATGCAGGAACTCCAGCAATTCCAAGCATCCACCTCCATGTACCAGGTGCCTGAAAGTAAAAGCAGTGTCACAAGGTTTACTTCTATAGGGAAAATTGAAGTTATTTTATTATATATAATTGAATTTTTTTGTGTTGGATTTGAAATAATGTTGAAGTTATTTCACAGTTCATATTTTCCATAAATTTGTTGAAACAAAATAGCAACTTCTACTTTTTTAATACATTTGCTTGGAAACAAACCATACAACCTCTAAGTAGCAGAATGAATTAAATGATCAAAATGTTACCTAGACTTTTTATGTGCATTCATTATAATCCTATATTTGGCACCCCAACTTACCGAATTTGTACTAATTTGGTTCTATTTTCAAATTCGTCTTTTCTTCGGATGGAAAATAGTGAAAGGAAGATTTCCATGAAGGCATTTTAGACTTATAAAGACTAATCTCGTTTAAGCTTGTATCAAGCAGTGAGATTGGACAATAATATTAATTTGAGCTAGAATCAAATAGTAAGATTGATCCTAAAACATCCAAAATATCCTCATGAAAAGCTTGAAACCACAAGTTCTATCCAAATAAATGACAAAATTGATGAAAAAACCAATTTAACTTTTGCAAGTTGACTAAATTTACACTTAAAAAGAACTTACGATTAAATTGGACATATCTAAAAAGTCTAGGAATTATTTTAATCATTTACTTTAGAAAAGTGTTATATCATAATTATGTTTCAAATTGTTAGATCACACTTACCTTGGTGAAGGCCAAGTTGATGAGGTAGGAGAGGAACTGGCCTCCTGTAATAAGGAATCCATTGGTGCTGACAAGAGCTCCTCGAATTTTTGCAGGTGAAGCTTCTGATATATATAGTGGTGAAGTCATCGAAGCCATTCCGACTCCGAGACCGACGAAAACACGACCTAGGATGAGGAGTTTAGGGCTATTAGCAGCAGCCATGACCACTGCCCCAATGAAGAAGAGGAAATCAGCAACCAAGAGAGAAATTCTCCTTCCAAATCTATCATTTACCCATCCACCTACTGCTGCTCCTATGATTGCACCTGCAATTGCCGTGCTTACAATACTCTCCTGTGATCAAAAAAGAGAATTATGAAGTTATGATAAGCTAAAATCTCATTTTATGAGAAGAATGCCAGCAATGACTTAACCCGGGAGCAATATAAAAGTAAGATTAGGATGATCAGTCGAAACATTTCGTTATATTGAAATACTTGTTTATAGAAAACAATCATGTGAGCAGGTAGATTGAAGGAAACAACATTGAACAATTTCTTTCTTGAGGTAATTCAAATCATGGCTTTTATTTGATGGGCAAGAGAAATGAGAGAGAAAAAAAGAAAGATTTAGAATATTACAACCAAATTTTTATTAGTAAATTATTAGGACCCCAACCACGCTAATACAGATAATATAAGGAAATAAAGAAGATAAAAAGGATTATTAGGAAACATGAGTTCTTCTAAAACCCTATAAACAGATTAGGGAAGAAGAGGCAAGTAATGTGATGATGTCAACTACTTCAGCTATTCATAAGGGGAGAAAGTTGAGAGTCATAGCTCATTTCATTCATTTTACATGCCCTATTTCTCCTGAAAGGGGAATATTTATATAAGACAAATACACCTAATGACTCTTCAAAACATAATAAGAACCAAATAACTATTAATCACATATGAACTATCAACTCAATCTTAACAGCCTATTACAATTATAGTTTTAAAAGAAAACCATTGAATGTGCTTTAAGATTGTTGTAATGTGAGTTTTGATTCATTACCCACTATAGCTGACGTCTTACAGAAAATTCAATATTTTTTATACTAGTCCTAATCAATTTTTCTTGAAATAACAGTTTTACCAATCAATCTCAGCAGCTTTCAAAACTTGAAACAATTTCTGTGAGGTAAGTTTCATATATTTGCAAGAAAATCATTGATATATACATTTTTTCAGATCAGATTTTAAAAATGGAAATTTTCTTTCATAACTGGACTGCTCAAATTGTCTATTTCTGCAACCGAGATTATGCAACGTCTAATAAGAAGCTAAAATTGAAAAAAAGTTAAAATGAATTCAAAGGCCATGACATTTCATTACCTGCAGCCATGTTTTCCTGTCTACCTCCGAAAAATCATCTCGGATATAAAGCAATGCTCCGGAAATGACCCCTGCAAATAAATAATCACAGAGAAATAAATCAAGTGATTTTTTAGTAAGTTCAAATTCAATAAATAAATTTTTTGGGAGATAAAGGATCTGAAGAAATTACTACAGAGATTTATTTTCCGGTTACTTGTATGGAAAATAATTTCTAACAATGATTAAAGCAGACAAAGTAGTAAAATAAGTTTAAAAACTGAAATTTAATGTGAAAATAAAACGGAAAACACGCCTGTATCATAGCCAAAGAGAAGTCCACCGATCCCGGCAGAGAAGGCCAGTCTAAGAACATACGGGTTCTTCCACGCGAGGGAGAAACACTCGTTGAAAGCTGAAGGATCTGAATCAAGCACTCCTCCTTCCATGGTTCTTTCTCTTTGCCCAGAATAAAATCTAAAAATTTTCAAAAAAAAAAAAATTCTATCAGGAATCCATGAGGCATTTAGTGAAATTTGAGCTATAAAATATAGGAGAAATAATAATAGAATGGAAATTGGCTTTGAATTCTCTACTCTGTTGAACAATTGCCCAGTTCCAGCGGCAAGTGAGTGACAAAGAGAGAAAGCGAGAAAGAAAGAGTAAATTATGGAATCTGAAGGAGATGTTTTATTCAAATACGAAAATTTAGAATTTTTCCGTCGAGGATTTCTTCTTCATTCACTTGGCAGTCGCCACAGCTCTTTTGTAACGGTGCTTTTTATCGTGGGAAATTAATTTTTATGAAAATTATTGTGGTTTTCTCCCCCCAAAAAAATATAGGGAAAAATATATTGTTGTTATTATAATTTTTTTTTAAAATAATTTTTATGTTTATCACATATTAAAGCATTTTTATTATAATTTTTTAAAAAATAATATCAAAATAAAAATGTAACATTTATATAAAAATAAATAAAATAGTGAAAAAAAGAAGAGAAAGAACTGTTGCCAGGAAAAAAAAAAGTATATATATAATATTTAGAGAGTTTTTGATAAGAGAATGGGCCATGAACATCTATTTTGGAATAGTTTTCTTTTTTAATTTGAAATTTTCTAAATTTTAAATTAGCACGAAACATATCTCCTTCAAGGATTTTAATTTTTAAAATTTTAATTAATTTTTTCTCTTTTTAAAATTAAGAGGAATTATTATAGGGCAACTTGGTTTTATTTTATTTTATTTTATATTATTCATATTTTATTTAGCATTTAAAAAGTATGCTATTTTATTTTTTAATGAATTGCAAATAAGTTAATTTTATGTAAAGGTGGTAGGGTCATCAGTGGGGTAGTTATGGAGGTTGACCAGGCCATGTTGGAAGTAGCATTGTTTTTTTAAAAATCCACAAAATATCTCAAACTTGTTTTGAGTATTTTTTAAAATATTATTTAGTTTTAGAAAATAAATATGTAAATAATCTAAAACAAACTTAATAGATGTGCTTTAAAAAAAATAAAAATGAAAACTAAAAAATAATCGAAAAATGGCCTTAAAATATTTCAAAATATTTTAAAAGACTGATATTGATATTAAAGAGGGACAAAATTATTTCAGATATATTTTAGATAGGATGGGACCAGAAATCTTTGATTTTATTTTTTTCAGATTAGTATTATACATAAATAATTTATGCTGCTCTTATTTGAATGTAAATATAATAAGTTTAAGTCTCATCTTAAGCTATTTTTTTAAGATATTATTATCTTTTCAAATTATTTTTACCCTTTTATTGGCTTATTTAATTTTTAAAGCAGAATTATCACTTAAATTTCACATGAGTTTTATTATAAACTAGAACATTTGTGGCGTTAGAGATTTTAATATTTTAATTTTGTACAAAGAACAAAAATGTATAAATCAAAATTGTAAGAGACATTAGAACTGTTGTGTCCTAGAATATTCGCAGCGACAAAGAAATATAAAGTTTAAAGTCTTAGCTTTATACGAAGATACAACACACAATCAGATAAGAAAAAGGATGTAGCATTCCTAAGAGACACCAAGATTTTTACTTGGAAAATCTTTAAAAGGGATAAAATCACAGGGCCTAGCCCAGTTTGAATGAATCAACTAGTATTTGCAGTTGATTACAAATTAGCCCTTTCATTGGAGGGAAGGTTTTGACTTGATGTAAAATTTTTACATCAAATAGAGTGTGTTACTTGATGGAAATAAGAAGAATCACTGTTGACGTGTTTGTTTGGTCGGAAGGACCATAGTCGGTGGGTGATGAAGGTCTAAAAGAACATTATCTGGCGACAGAGGTTAGAAGGACTATTGTTTGGCGATGGAGGTTGGAAGAATCGTAGTCGGTGGGTGATGGAGGTCATAAAGACCATTGTCTAATGGCGGAGATAAGAAGGAACGTAGTCGACAGGCGACGGAGGTCGGAAGGACCGTTGTCTAGCGATAGAGGCTAAAAAGATCATAGTAGGTGGGAGATGGAGAATAGAAGGACCTCTGACCGACAGAAGTCCAACATCGGGCAGAAATCTGATGCAGGCAGAAGTCTTGTATCGGGTAGAAGTCTGACGAAAGTTTGGTGACTGGTAAAAGTCTAATGAGGGTAAACGTCTGGCGTCAGGTAGAAGTCTGGCAACGGACAGATGTCCAGTGCCAAATAGAAGTCCGACGACTGGTAAAAGTCCAGAGACGGGTGGAAGTCCGACTTCAGGTCGAAGTCCAACAATGGAAAAAACTCTGGCGACGGGCAGAAATTCGATGTCGGGTACAAGTACAAAAATGGACAAAAATCTGACGATGGGTGAAAGTTTTGTGTCGGGTAGAAGTCCAACAAAAGTGCTGCGTTGGGCAGATATCTGGAGACGGGCAAAAGTTTTTCATCAAGTAGAATTCTAATGAAAGTTCAGCGACGGGTAGAAGTTCAGAGATGATTTGATGTCCGGTGATGGGCGGATGTCCAGCGTTAGGTCAAAATCCAACGACAAGTTGAAGTCCGTCGTTTGGTGGAATTCCGGTGATGGATAAAAGTCTAGTGACTGGTGAAAGTTCGTCGTCGAGTAGAAATATGGCGACGGATGGAAGTTTGACTTTAGGTAAAAATCTAGCGACCGACCAAAGACTGGAGTTAGTTGGTGGCTGGGAGAAAATCCGGCGTCAGTTGGTGGTCAGGAAAAAAATTGACTTTCATCAGTAGATGGGTGAAAGTTTAGTGTCAGTAGATGGCCAGGTTGAAGTCTAGTGGTGATCGAGGAGGAGTCTGGTGGAAATAAGACTCTTCCTTCTCTTCCCTCTCTTCTTGCTTGGGTCCCTTCTTTCCTCCCCCTTGCTTGGGTCCCCTTCTCATGAGAAATAAAGTGTTGATTTATAGTTTTCTGGGAGTGGCATGACCAGTAAATAGGAGGAAAATCAATTGTAAATTGGGAGTTATTTGAATAGACAGCCGATGTTGAATCCCTCTTTCATGGACCGTTTACCAGACATTTGACTGTCTTAATGATATCAGAATTTGATAATCTTGGGATCATTAGATTAGTTTGTTGAGCTGCTCGATTCGACTATAACCATGTCATGTTTAAAAAATGTTTAGTAATCCAAATTATGGATTGAACCTTCCAAATGTGCTTCAAGTTCTTGATTTGGACTCATTTGAGCTCTGATTGAATCAAATTTGGTGTCGTCGGGTTCGTATTTTTGAGACGTTCAGTTCAACTATAGGTTTGTTGAAATCGGAGTTCAAATAGTCTCCAAATTAACATACCAAAATCTGAAAAAATTTTACAAAGCGGTGAAATGGATCGAAGATCAAAATGAAAACTTTTTCTTTCTTCTTTCCTCTTTCCTCCTTCCCTTCTCCCTTCCACAGTAAGTTGGAGTTGGTGGGTGAGGATACATGAGTGATTGGAGTAAAATGGATTTTAATATGTATAAAAATTTATTTTAGTGCATACCATTGTAACGCCAGCATCGCAGTGTTGTATACTAAATTTAAAATTACTATATAATAGAGCCTTCAATATCGTGGTGGAAACTTTTGGCACTGTTGTGCTTACAAGCCAGTGCTGCCACATACACAAGCTCAACACCACAGCGCTCAGTTCAAACTAAAATTTAGATTTCCCATTTTAAATTTATTTAAAATTTTAGGTTGTTACAATTTACCCACCATAAAAAAATATCATCCTCAATATTTTCTATAAGAATTCATGCATAAAGACAGTATATAATAAATTCATTCAAAAAAAATCCATATCAAAATATAATTAAAGCGGATTGAAGGATTTACATCAACCTAGAAATAGCTTTCTTATATAGTCACGCATTTCATTCAATCACATGTCATTCACTTATGAATGCTATGTCAATCAATCATTCAAAATAAATTTCTTACCAGTCAAACTCTCTGGTTTTAGTCTGTCTTCCTAATACTGCAAGTTATGCACTCATGACATCACTAGAGTAGGTACTGTTGGTGCATTAGGACCCATGATAGCTCTATCATTGGCCCTATTCATAAATCTTTCATTATATTCTCTCAATCCTATAGTCTTTTGTCCTTAAGACTGCCTAGATTGTCCTGCTCCAAAATTAGTTCTTCCTTTCTGAAGATAATATGTATTAAGTGAAAATTATACTTATTTTTTATTGAGTTAAATTCCAATAAAAATATTTTTTTAGTTGATGTTGTGCAAGAATGTCTTAGAAAAAATGATGAAAATTTACAAAGTTAGAATTAACTATGCAACACCCCGAACATCAGTGTCAGTAAGCCTACAATGCCCATTGTCAAAACCATACATTATAGCACCACAGTCTCAAAAAAATTGAATTTAATTTAGAGCCTTGCTAGAATAAATGCCATCGCCACAATGCTATGAGCACCTCTACTCCATAAAAGGAACACTGCAGTGCTCTACACTGTCAAATTCATCAATAATTCAAACTTGAAGTGCCAACCTCTAAAGCACCACAACAATGAAAGATAAGAAAAGCAATATAGTGCCCAATCTTTTGCAATGTCAAAGTAGAGTAGTTATGAAAGAAAGCATAACACCAAATTGATCATGCATCATGCCTGGTTAGTCCAATGCTGCAACTAAGCTAATTTAGTAGTTCCAAGGTGCTAATTCATATTTTAACACCGTGGTGCCACCCTTTCGAGTGACGTGATGCATGAGTCTATTTATATAAAAATAAATAGTTATTATTGCGTTTTTTATGAGTCCATCCTAAAGTCCATAGAGCGATACTAGAGGATAATGAGATAAGTTTAGTGGAGTGGCTAGTCATCCTTATAGTGAGTAAAATAACACTTAAGAGTGGAAAGGAGTGTGGAAAGTGAAGTTGTAAGGAGGGTTCACTTATGGGAGACTCCATTTGCAGGATCTATTTAGGATTCTCCATTATGGGTGATATTTTCTTCATCTTTTCTATTTGTAACCTTTTTTAAGCAAGTAATGAAAAATGTTTTGCTCCAAATTATTTCTATAGCCCTAAACTTCTTATTTTGGGATGATGATATGAATAATCTATGTATATTCTAATATAGACTCTTGTACATAAAGGTTAATCACAATTCTCAATTTCTCTTATGCTTTATTTAATTTATGCAATGACCATGTATAAATTTAAAAACTAGTGTGATACATTACTTTAGTAGAGGAATGTTAAAAAAATTAGGAGAATTGAGATGGAATGCTTTTATACTTAGATATAAGATGAGTAAGATTCTAGATTT